CATAGCAGGGGACACACAGTTCAGGCACCTGACCCCAACTGACCAAGGGAGTATTTCATCCCATAGTACGTCATGCTCGGGGCACAGGCGAGGAGGAGGTCCGGGAGCCATTACTCTCTCCCTTACTCTCTCCCGTTCACTCCCGTACACTTGCTAACATTCTCCCTGACTTCTGCGTTAGCTGCTTTGCTAACTCCTGTGCTGGCTCGTTCAGGAGGGAGTTGATGGGTTTGTTTAGTTTTGCCGCTCGTGCTACCTCTGATAGGGTTCACTCAGAATATGCTGCGGCAGCATTCGGGCTGCGGCCCTCGGCCCGCAATCGCTCCGCGGCTCTCGGGCTCTCTGGGGCTGATTCCCACTACTCAGCATTTTGTTCTGCATTGGTCAGTGGGTGGTGAGGAATTGTATCATATTGTATCATATGTTTTATTTTTTATTGTTTTATTATTTATTAGTAGTAGTACTTGTATATATCAATTTAGATTTAATTAGTAAATAGTTCTTATCTCAATTTTACGAGCTTATTTCTTTTTCCTCCAATTCTTCCCCTCCACTGGAGGAGGGGAGGGGGATTTGTGAGAACAGCTTCATGGTATTTTGCTAGCTGGAGTTAAACCACGACAACCAGGCATGCTTTCTCGACCTATGTTAGGTTTTTGTAGCCTATTTTGTTTATAGGCCCCCTATTTTCCTCACGTTTGTTCGGTCTCTGTTCCAGCCCTACCGACTCTCTCAATATCTTCTGCTACTCACCTCTATTTCCATTCAGTTTAATAACTTGTCCTTCACATTCTCCCCCCACAATTTATTTTTGGTATCATTACATGTATTCTTGGAGTTTGTTTCTGTCTGTGTAAACAAGGGCAAATAAGAAAGGCTATACAGTGGAAAATGCTGCTTTTTAAATGAACACTTCATTGTTTATTTCAAGCTTCCAGGGGATTGAACACCCATCCCAACACACTCCAGTGACGAAGGATAAATGAACAGTCACCCTCATCCCTGCTGCTCATTCCTCCCACTGGCATCTACTCTATACCCTCTATGGCTGAAAGAACTGAGAAGCCAGCATAGTCTATTTACCCTTTTACAAACTTACAATCATCATTTTAATTTACATCATAAAACCCAAAAGTGTTCTAGCTGCTTAATGGAACAAATAATAATGTAAAGTCACTGTTTGGAAGCACACAATTGCATTTTAGAACCTTTGTAATCAAAACAATTAACAACTGTGAAGGGATCATGAATGAGGGAAAAGAGTTTAATAAATAAGTCCTTTTTCATTGCATGTTTTGGCAGTTTCCCTAAATGTAACCCTTAAAATGGATTGTGTCATATAACCTTTGCTGCTATTTTCAGGTACATAAGCAAGTAATGGTCTTAAAGGGACTGTCTGTAAGAATAAGTATTCACCCATGACAAAATTAATAATAGCAATAAGAATTAGTTCCTATTCAGCACCTTTTTATCAACACATTTCAGTGTTCTATAGGGAAAGTCTTTGTAAGAATAAGGCATATATATTACACAATAATGTGATTTGACTATTTGCATTAATAGGTCGTCTGATTATAAAGTGTCTTACTAGTTAATCAAAATTTTCTTTGCTGAAATTTCAACTAATTATTTCTCATCTTGTCACTTCTGGCTCATGAGAACAGTTCTTTTCTGTTCTTCAACACACTGCTAGCAAGAAAGCTATAACATTTCTAAGCTGTGGAAAACACCCATAGCATCTTTAATTGCAGACCTACACAAATTATCACCACAGTTAATTACTGAATTCTCCACAACCCAATTGCATTTCCCATGGAGGGATCTCTGAGTGCCTTAAAAACATTAGCACGTTTATTATAAATAACCTGACATGGCGTGGATAACTCTTAGCCCATTCAGCGAAGGAAGATGGGTGCCACAGCCGACAGTCCCCTTTCCTTACCACCAGACACCTTCCTACTTGTGTGTATACCATTAGGGCTTACCAAACAGAGAATTTTAAGGAAACAACAAGCATATCTTATTTCTTTCAAATATAAAGCCAAGAAAAAACACTCAACATATACCACTGGCTTCAACAGATGTTGTAAGTTGAAATATGTACATCCTTTGTACATTTATTTCCATGGTCTCAGATATACTAAGAGGTCAGCTGCAAAGAAAGGTGAAAAAGAGGGAGCCTAAACGGACCATATTTTCTTTCCAAAGCTGCTGTAAAAGCTCTATGATTTCTTCTCTCCTTTCCCATATTTATTTTAGAACAGATAAGATTGAAAGATGGCCCTATATGAAGTGCTCCGGGATTTTTTCAGACTCAGATAGTCTTATCTTTCAGGCAGAATCAGGCCTTGAGGAGTATGATTTAGCAAATACCATAAGACTGAAAATGAAGGAACTCTCTGAGAATATAGTCAGGTCTAAAATCACTAAACCCATCCTCCCTTTTCCCTTAAAAAAAAAAAAAACAACAACAAAAACAAACATATACAGCATCTTTGAAGCAACAGCACATGCTGAAAAGGAGCCAAAGTAAGGATTTCTGTCATCTGTCAATTCTATCAGTCTTTTTTCCACATAGTTTTCTATAGTCAACAAGAGCTAACCAGGCTGTCAGAGGGGAGTATTTCAAGTTAAATGAGGAAATACTATAAAAGCGTATTAGAATGGTGCAAAGGGAGGGTTCAAACATGTATAAAACATATAAACATCTTTCTCCCCTTCTACAGCATGGCATTGCCTGACCTTTTTCTGGACTCTACTTATTGGTATTTCTGATGGACCCTATGATGGGTGCCCAAGCGGTGTTTAACTGGTTTTCCGTTGTATGAGCTGAATCTGACCCCTAGATAACTTAAAGCACTTAATTTAACTCCTGTCAGTTCTCCCAGTTTCACATCCCTCAGTCTTTCATCAAACACACCACCAGCACAAAATTATAGCTCCAAGAAATGCACGTAAGTCACACTCTCACACAATATACTGGACAAAAAAATTAGTCAAGGAAATGACCATTAAGCCCAAATTTCTGCTGTTTCATTTACAGAATAGTCGATCTTCTCTTTTGTTAATTGTAAGGAGATATAGCTGGCAGTCATTGGCTATTTTCTGCAATAACTATTTTGTCTGTTTCCTTTAATTTCCTCAATTCAGTCTTCAAAATTTTGCCCAGAATAATACCTTATAAAGGCACAGTAATGAAATGCCTCATTAGCTGCTTTCCTTTGTTACTTCTGTCTTGGCAATGCCACTTTGAATCCAAAGTACAGAAATGGTAGTACACCAGCAGTTGTGAAGGACTTTGAACTGCTCTGCATGAAGGGCGCTCTAAAAATTCAGCACTGAAACTGCAACCTTTACTTGTGACCATAGCTGTTAACAGTGCTTGATCAGAAAATGACGAGCTGTTTGTTTTTCCACTGAATTTAAGTATTTTTAGATTAGTTTAAAATACACACATGAAAACAACATGTGAATAGAACTTGGGAATGCAGTTTCAGCTGACTAAACCTTAAAATTGTAGTTTAGAATAGCCAAAATTACCTAGATTTCTAAAACCAGAGCATCGTTTCTGGTTTACGAAACCTTGCAAAACACGGGCTCTTTAAACCCTTATTTTATTCCATTTTTTCCAATACACTGTAATAAACTCGAGATGAAAAGTGTTGCAAAGACATGCATTGATTTAATTATGTTTCTCCTAATGTAGTTTTAATTGAACAAATAGATATGGGACTATAATGTCTTCCCCCTTTCTAAATCACTAAGGTACAAAAAATATTAATGGTTAGATTTGATGTTATTTTCTTCTTCATCTTGAGAGGATTTTCATTACTGAGACAAGAGGTTTGGATTATTGGTTATATTATCACATGGTCTTTTCACAAAATATTCTGTCTTCAGACAGAATGTAATAGAACGTAAACGAGAAGAATAACCTTTTGTCAACCTGTAATTATGTGCTTGCAAAGATTTAAAGAGCAATACTCGGTTAGAAATAACATCTAGTCTCTCTTGGAATCTTACTGATGATTTCAAGAAGCTTAACTGTTGTAGAGATATGCAAGTTATTTTAAGAATAAAAACAATCTCTTACTTGGTCCTCAAAGGAGATTGCCTGGGCAACATCTCTGGGAAATCCATCAATCACTACACCCTCTTCATCAGGGATCTGCATTAGTCTCTGCTTTATCTCAGTTATGGTTGTTTCCTTTCACAGAGAAAAGAAGGTATTTATTTAATATTGTAAGGGAGGTTTTCTTGATGGCACACATTAATGCAGCATGTACAAATCCTTCAAAGGTAAACATTAACACAGGATACACTGTACCTGAGGGGCCAGTTCTCCAGTAGTAATTATTTTGGCAATTAGACTCCATTTTCTATTGCTGCTTGTGCTGTGGATCTTCTTCCTTAACAATTCACCAACGGATATGTAGTTAAATCCATAGCGTTCTGCTATTTTCAAACTCTGTGTTCCTTTACCACTTCCTGGGCCACCTATCGGTAATTATAAAAAAAAAAAAAATTAAGCTTTCGTCTGAAGTACCCAACCCCATGTGGAATCTTTGCTATTGGCAGCAATTTTCCAACCACTATTAAAGCAACTCTTGCAGTTACATGACTTGTTACCAGCCACTTAGAAATGGGTCTCGTCTACCTGAGCATAAAGATAACAGTTTGTAAAATGAAGTGTAAAAAAAAAAAGAATGCAAGTCAACTTGCAAATTAAAAATAAACATGTTCTTTTCGGCTTGATCTCATTCTGAGGCTGTTCCTGGAAAGGAATTTTTCTTGATTCATAGTAGAGGAAGAGACAAATTATCTGGTCCCGTCTTGAACTCTGTGAATCCGAAGGCAGAGCCAGATAGTCTGAAGCGTATTCATGTCAGAAAGAATCATACTTGGTTAAATAAGCCAATGAAATCAATGGACCAGTCATGAAACGGAACTAATAAAATCTCCTCTTAAATACGCTTGCATGAGTTTCTGAGGTTTTCTAATTTTAAAATACAGAAAAATATTAAATTATCAGCTGAGATGTTTCCATAGTGATTTGGTACAAGGACTTTTACTGAACCATGCATACTTCTGGTATTGATGCTTGAAGCATCTGACAGAGAAGCAATTTGTTAGGTTCAGCTTGCTGGACAACTTGAAGAATAAAGAGACCCTTCAACATAGCACAGGCAGAACAGGTATCAAAATCACAGAAAGCAGCTACATTGCATAGCAGGCAATGCTGAAGTGAAGGTCAGCTGGACAGCAGAAGCAAGAATGCATGTTAAAAACAAAAATCAGACTACGTCTGAACTAAAAGGACACATTATGATGTGAAGAACAGAGAAACTGGAATCCAGTATGTAAAAATTGGGAATTGTTTTGATAAAAAGAAACATTTATATATAGTAAAGTGTATCTCACTGAACAGCATAACAAAGCAAAACCAAAGTAAATGTTGTGCTGTTAATTCCCAAGAGTAAGTAGCTATATTTTGGCGAATTGTGTGTGAGAACACTGAATTTTATTTCAACAGAGAAAGAATTAGGGTTTATTAAAAATAAATACACTTTTCTATGAACTTTAAAAAACACAGCAATGCAATGAAAGTAAATATCAATACAACGAGCTTGTTAGTAATCACCTAACTCTTCCTTGTGTTATCTGTATTATTCCCATAAATAGCTTTTAAGGCATTTATATAATTAATACAGATTTGACCACAGGATAAACTTTACAATATTTCTTCATATAGGATTACGACACTCCCTGTGTAACCAGGTTCCAACCTGTGCCCCTTACAGGTCAGAGAGCTTTCAGTGTCACCAGTGGTCACTAGGAACATCCCTGTACGCCTGACGCTGCGATGGTAACTCTCCACCTGGCCTTGGCAACTCAGATCGGGGCCCATTTGAAGAGAACACACAGGGAAACGCGTATTGTTAAGGTGTCCCCATACCCTGCCCACAGTTTAGTTATACCCTTGGGAAAATAAAAGGCTTTCTCATTATGCCATTAGTTTAAATAGTGCTTAAATTAAGCCAGGTTAAGATAAATCCAAATGTAAGCATTTGCCTGTAACATCCAACTAGTCAATATATTACAGGTGTCCGTAAAACACACAAAGAAATGGAAAAAAAACCTGTTTCTTGTCTCTTTATAGTACGGTTAGAACAGAAAAAAGTATTTTTCCCTCATTCAGTTCACTTGCTGTTTCTCTCCTAAGAAGAGAAGAGAGTCTTCCTTCAGCCACTTAGGTTTTACAGCTGGTTTTCCATTTCAGTTCTTCTAGGTGATCTAGATGGGCTTAGTTTTTTTCAGCTTGAACTCTTCCTACGAGTTTACCTGCCCTCTTTGTTAGAACAAAGGATGTTTCCCTGTGTAGATACGCAAGCTTCTGATAAACTAAGCAACACCTCCTCTGCTAAAGCAGTTCTGTTCAGCTCTCCCCGCTCCCTTTGATGCCACGCTCATCCTTCCCCATGACAAACGCATTTCACCAAACCTTACATTGTGTTTCACCCCTCCATCAAAAACATACCTGATACCAACATTCAAACAAGGTAACTCCACGTAGTTTACAGTTTAGAACAGGGCCTTGTTAATCTGGAATGATAGCAGGTTTGAGGTAACTGATTCCCAGTGTCTTACTTCGTACGTAGATGAAAACAACAGCACAAAGAAGTGCAGGTAATTGTTCAGTGATCGCTGTCAGCTTGTATGGAGCAGCTTTTGCCAGGTGAATGAACAGGATTATTACTTGTTCCTGGAATGTCTACTCACTTGGTGTAAAGATTTCTATAAGCAACCCTCTCTCCATCTATAAAGCCACTTATTGCAATCTAATCAGCATAACATATAAATAAGGCACCTTATATACGTGTGTGTTTATACATACGTATAACATTTACTACTATGAATTTAGGGGGCTTTATTTACTGGCAATAATCCTAACTAATGGAAAAAAGGGGCGAGAGGTTGTGACTATGCTTCAGAGCAAAGGGTTTATAAAACACTGGAGGCAATGCTGTGCTTAATTCCTGCAGAGACAGAACTTCTGGGAAAGGAAATTCAGTTTAATTCCCTGGGGACTCAAGACAAGTTTGAAACAGATTATGTTGCACCCCAGAAACAACGAAGATACAAAACATACATACATAATATGTAGAAAATTAGAAAATTTAAGAACACTGGAAATAGTATCCCTGTTCCAGCAGAGGTACAAAAGATGCCAAAAAAACAGAACTGTTACTTGAAAAAACATCAGCCTCTGTAAAACTATAAAATAGCTGAAAGAACCTTTCTGAAACCATGTAGATAGACTTTACACTCCTGTCAGGGATAGCTTTGCTTTGCCATTAAAGAGAAGCAGGGAAAAAACCAAACAACATAGTTCGTCACTTCTGTACTTTCAATTTAGATTTGCAAGCAGAAAATAATAAAATATTTGCTTTAATGTTCATAAACTTCTCACACATTTTGTTTTTCTCGATCCAAATATATCCCTTTACAGCAAGCTGGGATTATCCATTTACAATCTAAGGGGAAACATTCAGGTAATAAAATAAGGGAAAAGTGATAGGACAAAATTACTTCCAACAGCAAATCATTTTCATTTATTGAACTATGTATCCATCCCTGACTCTTTGATAAATCATACTGACAAACTGTTCACAAGAAAGGAAAATCAAATCACTTCTGTTTTTCATTCTTTTCACTTATTCTGAGATTATACATTATTCAAGAAAAGCGTGATTATTTTATGTATTTCTCAGAAGATGTCTAGACTAGGGAACATTAGTTGCATTTCAAATTATGTTTGTTAACTGGTTTCAAGTGAAAATTTGTATGCCCCAAAAGTTTTACTAAAGCAGTTGTTTTAATCCAGTTTTGTCAACTGAAGTTCAGAATTTCAATTTTACTTATATTGTTGTAAATTCAAAATAAATTCATGTAATAATAATATTTATGATTTTAAAATCTAGCTATGGACTGGATTTAACAAATCAGTGAACCATCTGACTGCTGACAGCAGTATCCTTGATCTATCCTTTAAACTTTGACTATAAAAGGAAAACATTCTTTCAGTATTAACTGATATTTTTAATTAAGTGCGGTTTAAAAACATACTGAACTATGGGGTACTGAACTATGACACCAGGTAATTCATTTTTTGAGCTCTTTGTATTCAGGCTGTATCAATAGTAAAAATGGGTTTGTCAAAATATGGCAGGAAGCACATTTTTAAACACAATCTAGTTTCCTAGTCTTATAAAGCCTTAGAAACTTAATTTCCTAGTGATTCAGATGTGTGCCATCCTGGCTGGTTCCATCTGATTTTTCTAAATCCCAGTCACATACTCACTTTGCAGCTTTGTAGCTTTACATTTCACCAGAAGATTTTTCTGCAAACACGGAAAAAGAACAAAACCCCCACCTTTGTGAGTTCTCTTTTGCCTTGGAGCTACCTGGTTCATTATAACGATGAGAGATTTCATAAAACAAAGAAGTTGTAAAAACCTTTATGAAAGCATGAAAAAGATCTTACGCTAATGCGTGATTAAAGAAAAGTTCCCCTAATAAGCAAAGCAGGAGACAGGTCTTCAACTTCTATTCATTTCAGTCCCCACAATGAATAGAACCAGTAGCACCTGAGCTAGGCAGTGTGGCTAGGTATCACTAGGTAGGCATAAGGAGCTTGCTTAACTGAATATTTCACTGGCATTTTATTCAAACTGAAAAATAGGCAACACACTTCCATGCGTACACTATTTGTCGCTTGAAATTAACAGTACACTTTTTTCATTTTCCCTCTTTCAGTACATTAGTTATTCTGTTATTCTTTCCAGTGTGTTTTTATGTGCTTTCTCAATAGGAAGTTGAATTTGGGAGAAATTTTCTTGATGCTGTACAAAATTGGACAAAAGCTGCTAAGCTACACACAGCATTGTGTTTCTATCAGATCACACTATAATAGACAGATTCAGAGAAAGTGTCGGAAAATGAACCTGAAATAGCCTTTGTGGAATGTTTACAATGTTCTCTATATAAAGGGGAAAAAGAAAAGCTCTGTAAAATTCACAGTCTGCTCACTACCTGCTGGCGTTCAAGGATTTCACTTCAAATACCCCTGCACACAGTTCCAGAGGTGAAAGTCAATCCCTGTTTCACCGAGATCAAACCTTCATTCACCACGCTACTGCAATAGAGCTACATGGATTTCCAGGCATTAAGAGCCTTCTGTGGTCACTAAACGGAGACAGTTTTTCTCCGTTATGGAAAGAAAGGCTAGCTAATTAATTAATATGAAAGGCAGGCATGTGTTATTTCTCCATCTAATGCAAGCTTTATAGTTCAGCGGTGCGTGGGGAGATTTGCATGGTGAGATTTGGAATTCCGAAACAAAAGGTTAAGAAAATTCAAATGCCTAAGCAATTCTTTTGGCACACCACAAATATCTAGAAAAAGGCCTGGTGTTTTTGTTTTCAATATATTCCAATATCACATTTCTGAGAACTGCTAGATGCAGAGCTTAGAGGACATGCTGTTCTTACAGATCCCACTCCATAATATATAGAAAACACATTTCTATTCTCTGTTCTATTCTACTACATACTATTCCCTGATATGGAAGCAGTAACTCTCTTTAATAAAAATAAGGCTCTATAGACTAAAACTGTGATTCTTCATCACCTGGCACCTGTGCTGTAACTATTTAAACAGTCCAGATAAGAATCAGATAATGAGACCTGGCAGTAAAATTTTGAAAGACAACTATCCCAGATGACAAGGAAACTAATTCAAAGAACTTAAATTCAGAAGCAGAAGAAAACGTTTAGACTTAAACTGCAGCTATTTCTTAATAAAACAGTACACTTCTCTGAGGCTGGAAAGTATGAGTTGCTTAGAAAGGACACTAAACGCCACACGAGAACCTGGGGAGAGAGCACAATTAACTAATGCTAACTGATCCCTAACTGTCCCTGAAGATGGCACAGGATTCGTTTGCCAAACAGATAGGGTTGAATGTATCAATGCAACGGGCAAGTGACCACGTACACTCACTCCAGCTGACATACCAATCAGTTTTCAGGGTTCTCAGTATAGAGGACAACAGCTCCCTATTTCTTTTTTGAGCTGGCTTAGCCAATATGTTTAAATATCCATTTTTGTGAGAAACTTTGAGTTGGTTCAGTTCAGATCCAGAGCACGCTTTGGAAGAATGCTCTGGTTCACACAGTAAAGCTGTTTTGAGCATGAGTCAGGTTCATTTTAGACTAAATCAAACTGGCAGATGTGCTCCATAAGCAAACCATGAGCTCTCCAGCTGCTCAGGGGCATCCAGCCTGCAGAACCTGACCACAGGTGCTCACCGTAACCCCTAAAACATGTATGGTTGAGATGCTATGTCCTCAGCACGAAATATTTCACTTTCTGGTACACTCTAATTGAGCTGCAGCCTTGCTACTGCAGATGGAAAAAATGTATTTAAATACATTTGGCCATTCAGTGCATTTGCAGAACAAACAAAAAGGCAAAGTCACAAAGATAAAATCTTGTCAAAATGGCTCTGCCTTCCTACCTATGACAAGGATAATTTTTGGTCGAGGTCTTGCAGGATCAAACACATCGTACTCCTCAATTAGCTCAGCAGTTTCAGAGAGGTCGGTGTCGCTTTCTATCGAGAACTGTTGGATTGGAGGGAGTCGGTCATACCGTCGGTATGGGAAGTTAGAATTATCAGGCATCACTGTAAAACAGTAAGGTAAACTGGGAATTGTGGAAATACAGAGAAAACTCAAAATCTATTGCATGCACAGCTTTAAGTAAGTATAATAAATAAACATAAAGCATAAATATCTCCTAACTTTACAATGTGCTTGCTGTTACCATATTACATATTCCTTGCGTCTCTGTAGCTGATTTATTGAATTGGAACCACTGTGAGTCAGTTTTCTTTGGTGTTTTCTTTACGAGCACGTCAGCTTTTCCGTGAAAATCTGCCCACAGCACGCCGAGTTCAGCAGTGGCCTCTGAGAAGAAAAGCACTGTACCGTGCAGATAACCTGTACTACCCAGCAGAACTCTTCTGGTGATACATGTCGTACACACAGACAGAGATAGGATTCTTGCTAATTAGTTTAATTAAATGCTGGATGGCAAGTAAGAATAACTATGGCAACTGAAAGATGAGCCAATTACTCTTTGTTAACATTACAAATAAAATAATTGCAGGTGTTGGGGTGACATTTGCTTAGATTTTATGAGACACGCCTTTTTCTAGGTGTTTATCACATACGTTGCATTTAGTAAATCAGCACATAGCTCCAGTATAAACCAGAAAAATAACCTAATGCAACTGCATTGAAGTTACGTACATCATCCATAAGGCCCAATGAAAAATCTAAACCAAGTGCAGAGTCAACTCTGACCCTGTTTTTGTAATTGTTTTAGGTAGGATTCGAGAAACCTCTCTATAATGTATTAAACGTTTACACAGCAAATACCCATCACTAGGCTGCAAAATTATGATAATTTCCTCTCATATGTAGCATCCACTATGGAAGGAGAAAAACAAATACCAGAACGCAAGGACACAGAATCCTTGAGTCCTTTGCCTAAGGAAAATCAGAACGAGGCATGATCAGCTATAGAACTAAGTATAACATAGTTCAGTACTGGATGTCAAACCACCCACAGCACAAGAAATACAGTCATTTTTATACTTAATACATTACCATTCCTGAAAAAAGACCTCCTGGATTGTCCTCCATTGAGTGGAGGCAGGGTCTTCTTTTCTGGGCTGACAAAAGTGTCCCATTTCACTTTTTCTGACCCCCCAAGCTCCTTCACTTTCTGCAAACAGCTTTCCAAATATTCAATTGGGTCATCGGGTTTGTAACACATTAATCCATTCAACAGACTCTGCAACGTAAGATCAGAAATACACACTATAATGATAGATGCCAGGAAAAAACCAAGCACTTTTACTAGGAATTTTCCTTTACACAGAGAAACCCCATATTCCTTGTACATTCAGACTCTCCGTTTCAAGCCAGTGTGTGAGGGCGAGGCCTACGAAAACCGTCCGGTTTTGGTTTGCCGGTGTTGCAAAAATGATTCAGAACAGGAAGCTCATGGCTGTGTCCCTATGTTTGTCTGCCTGCACGGTAGTAAAACCTGAAAATAGGGAAAAAGTTGCCCACGTTTTCTTGAGAACTGATTTTTGTAGAACTCCCACCAGCCAACACTCGCAGTGCAATGTGCAAGCTGGACAGCCCCAGAAGCTACGTGCTCGGTGTAGCCTACTAGATCACCGAAACGCATCTCTTCTTTAAAGACTGGTGCACCCACAGCTACCTCACCCGTGTTCTTCAGTCAACACTCAAATAATTAAAAAAATATTTTTAAAAATCACAAGAAATACTCAAATACCATCCTGATCAGGATTGGACGGAGAAAAAAACCAAACCAACCCAAACCCAAAGTCCATAGGTGCTTCCAGATTTAATTGACCAGAGCCACTGGCACCCCCCCGTCTGCAGAATTCACCCTGCACCCACCGTACCCGTGGGCATCACGGGGAGCGCGGAAGAGGGAACGCCAGGCCCTCCTCTGACACACGGTAACTGATTTTCCTTGAGAAAGTGATACATAAGTCATCATCTCACCTCTCCACCAGACAACTGCATCCAACCTTCTCCGAACAATAAATGTCTTTCAGGATGATTTCTGCTCCTTTGTGCTTTCCCTAATTTTTCCACAAATCAACTTGAGGGTCACAGCTGGTATCAGTAACAAATTAGCTCCAACTCCGGTTTTGCTCATTTATTACCTACAGTTCACACAACCCTATTTACACACATTTATTTACAAAATAGGCTACAATTTATATGCATCTACGCCCTTACTGTACTACTTAACCCACCGCAGCACCTGGCTACGGATTTTTGCAGCTGATACGCACCATTTCTTAAAAATTGCCAGCTCAAGCTCCGAGTCCCTACCATAAAACAGTTTTGTTTGCATCTCTCGTTAAGCCACTGACGTTCGGAACATGTTTGCAAACCATGGTCCCTGCCCCGTCATTCTCCAACACAGGGAAAAACGCCTCGCGGCAGGGCAGGGGAGACACCTGTGCCTGCGTGCGCGGTTTATATGGTGGCAGGAGCCCGATTCGGGAAAAACAAATAATCCACGTTTCCCGGAGAAGTCGTTACCAGCCAGCAGCAGCAGGTAACTTGGAGGAAGCCAACCAAAACCTCACTGAAGACCTGCGGGGTTTTCTCCTCCCAGACAACGAAAACCGGGAGAAGCCCTGAAGGCAAGCCCTGCCCGCGTGCCTGCGCCCTGCGGACACGCGAGTTCGCTCCCTCCCCGGGCGGACACGGACTCCCGCAGCGCCGCGGAG